GAGCAAACTGCCTGAGACACTCCCACAATGTGGGCACGAATCCTGGAATGTCCTGGCCCCTGGCGACACCCCCCCTTCGGCGTGATAAAAACAGCGCCTCGCCAGAGACATCCTCAGAACCTGCTCCGGCAACAGAGGATGCTGAGCATGCAAATGAGCAAACCGCTTGAGACATCCCCACACTCTCGGCGCGAATCTTGGAACGTCCTACACCCTGGTGCCCCCCCTTCCGGTGTGCTAAAACCAGCCACTCGCCTGAGGCATCCTCAGAATCTTTGTGCGAATTTTGAGCATGGGTGAGCATGAGTGAGAAAGTCATGTCCTCAGTGATAATGGGTGTGAGTGACTTGGGAATTCAATATGAGAGGGTTACGAGTGTGAGTTAGTCTGGGTGCAGTTGAGTCCGATGGTGAGGGAGTCTGAGTGTGTGTGAGTCTTAGCTTGAGTGAGTCTGGCTTCACTAAGGTTGAATATGCGTGAGTCAGAATCTGTCTGAGTATGATTGAGTCCCAATGTCAGGGAGGAAAAGGAGGAGGGGGGTGAGGGAGAGGAGTCGACGCGGTTAGGGTAAGAAGTACTCGACGCGGAGATCCCCATATTTGCATATCATACTCCTGTCACGTTTCGCCGGGGAATTCTGTCTATGAGCACTTGGGCGTGAGAGTGGGTCCGCGTAGACGACAGGCTCGACAAGGACGACAACAGCGACGACCTCAGTGACGCCCTCCTAGGGAAACCCAAGTGAAAGAGCGAGGGGCGGGTCCTGTTGCCGTTCCCCCCGCGGCAATTCAGGTAAACGCGCAGGACGTTGCTATGCCCGCTTTTTCGCGTGCTGCTCTTCGGGTGCCCGAGTGCCAGCAGGCACTTGGGGTGCCCGAGTGCCACGCCTGCTATCTCGCGGTAGCAATGTGTGAGTGGTTTTCAGTGCAATTGAATCTGAGCGTGTTGATCTAAGTGTGAACGAATCGGAGTGTGACTGGGCCCGGGTATGATCGAGCTTGAGTGGGAGGGAGTCTGTATGTCTTGTGAGACGAGTGCGTCTGGGTCTGTATAAGTGAGTATGACCGCGCGCGAGTCAAACTGCGAGTGGGTCTGGCTGTGGGCGAGCCTGAGTGTGGGCGAATAATCTGAGTATGCGTGAGCCTACATGCGAGGTAGTCTGCGTACGCATGAGTCTGAGGGGTGGCGAGTCTGAGTGTGAATGGGTGTAAGTCTGAGTCGGTGTGGGCGCGGGCGAGTCAGAGTTTGAGCGGGCCTGAGTGTGAGAAAGGAAGTATATGTGAGCCCGCGTGTGATCGGATATGATCATGGGCGAGTCTGGATGCGACGAATGAGTCTGAGTGAGGACAAGGGGCCCGCGAGTAACTCCGAACGCGGGCATGCGCGTCCAAGGAGGGAAAACGGGAAGGAAATGCGTGAGTGGGTTGGTGAGGATCACACATGTCCAAACAAAGATATGGGGCAGGAGCCGACGAACCGCCTCAAACACCCCCGCGATCTGAGCGCAAATCCTGAGGTGTCCTCCCCCTTGGCTGCTCCGCCCCGTGGTGCCAAAACGCGGCGCGTGCTACATCGCAGTGGGCACTGGGCCACGTAAAGGACGCGTCTGGGGGCGGCAATGCAATCCAACCGCTTGAAACATCCCCCCGATCTGAACGCGAAGCCACACATGTCCCCTTCCCATGGCGACCCCCCCGGGGGTGCCCAAGAGCAACGCTTGAGACAACATCTTGGCGAAGGGCCCAACCATTTGCAGCTGCGAGTATCGCGTACAGGTGATGGCCGTCGACCGCTGGGCCCTTCGGTGCAGCTCCCTATCGGGCTGCGAAGCGTGTGAATGGTGTGCCGAATTATGCGCGGGTGCGCCATGCGGACGTCGCCACTAGGGCCCCTGGATGTCAACCCCCTAGGGGCCACGAAGGGTGTGAGGGGTGTTTGGACTCGGGTACGCCATTCGGACGTTGCCGTTGTGGCGTTGTGGGTTTCGGTGGAGTTCCTTCTGGGGCCACGAAACGTGTGAGAGGTGTGTCGGATTGGTGCGGGAACGCCATACGGGCGCTGCCGCTGGGGGTCTCGGTGGAAGTCTCAGAACAAGCAGCAACGAAGCGTTTGAGGAGTGTGCCGAATCGGGCGCTGGTACGCCTTGCGGACTGTGCCACGGGACCTTTCGGCGAAGCTCCTTGCAGAGCAACGAAACGTGCGACGGGTGTGCCGAGGTGGGTGCGAGTGCGCAATGCGGAGTGTGCCGTTGGGGCCTGCGGTGGAGCTTTCTGTGGGGCCACGACGTGTGTGATGGGTGTGCCGAATCGGGCGCGGGTACGCGACGCGGAGTTTGCCACGGAGGGTTTCGGTGAAGTTCCCATGAGGGGCCACGGGACGTGTGAGTGGTGTGTCGAATAGGGCGCGGGTACGCCATGGGGACTGTGCCATTAGATCCTTCGGCTGAACTCCTTATGGGGACACGAAACGTCGAAACGTGTGAAAGGTGTGCCGAACTGGGTGCTGGTACGCCATGCAAGCTGTGCCTCTGGGGCCTTCGGTGGACCTTTCATACAGGGGCCACGAATCGTGTAAGGGGTGGACCGGATCGGGTGCGGGTGCGTCTTGCGGACTGTGCCGCTGGGTCTTTCGGAGGAGTTCTTTGTAGAACCACGACGCGTATGAGGAGTGTGCCGAGCCTCGTGCGGGTGCGCCATGCTGAGCGGATTGTGCCATTGGGGCCTTCGGTGGAGCTTTTTCGGTGCCTCGCAACGTGTCAGGGGTGTGCCGAGTAGGGCGCGGTTACGCCATGAGGACTGTGCCGCTGGGCCCTTCGGCGGAGCTCCGTCTGGGGCCACTAGACGTGTGAGGGGGGGTATGCCAAATCGGGCGCGGGTACGCCATGCGGACTGCGCCCTCGGTAGAGCTCCCTAAGGAGCCACGAAGCGAGTGAGTGTTGTGCCGAACCGGATGCTGGCACGCCATGCGGATGGTGCCGTTGGTGTTTTCGGTGGAGATTCCGATGGGGTCACGGAGCGTGTGAGGGGTGTTCCGAATCGGGCGCGGGTACGCCATGCGGACTCTGCCACGGGGGCTATCGGCGGAGCTCCCTATGGGGCCACGAAGCGTGTGAGGGGTGTGCCGACTCGGGTGCGGGTACGCCGTGCGGACCGTGCCATTGGGGCTTTCGGTGAGGCCCCCTGTGCAGCCACGAACCGTGTGAGGGGTGTACTGAAGTTGATGACGATGATGGTGATGATGACGGCGGCGATGATGACGATAGTGGTGATGATGACGGCCATGATGATGATAATGATGATGATGATGAGGACGATGTCGATGATGACGATGATGATGACGACGACGACGACGACGATGACGATGGCGATGACGATGGCGATGGTGATGGTGATGATGATGCTGATGATGGTGATGATCATGTTCATGTTCATGCTCATGATCATGCTCATGCTGCTGCTGATGAAGATCATGATAACGGTGATGGTGATGGTGATGGTGTTGGTGATACTGATGGTGATGGCGATGGTAGTGATGGTGGTGGTGGTGTTGATGGTGATTGTGGTGATGATGATGCTGATGGTCATTATCATGATCATGATCATGATCATGATGACGATGATGGTGACGATTATGTTCATGATGATGGTGATGATGATGATGATGCTGCTGATGATGATGATGATGATGATGATGGTGATGGTGATGGTGATGGTGATGGTGATGATGACGATGACGATGACGATGGCGATGATATTTGCGACGAGGAGGGCAGAGGCAATGAGGGGGAGGAAGGAGGAGGGGGAGGAGGAGCAGAGGAGAGGAGAGGGACGCGGGGCACTGTCTCTTCAAAACGAGGACCTTAAACCACAGGATGATTGGTAATAAACCTGGCGGTGCAGAAGCATGCAAACCGCCTGAGACATCTCCACAAACGTGTCACGAACCCTGGAGTGTCCCAACCCCTGGCGGCTCCCCCTTGGGATGCCCAAGTGCCTCGCCTGCTATATCGCGGTGAGCAATGGACCACCAAAACGAAAACAGTTTGGAAGGGGGGGGCAGAAACAAGCAAACCGCCTGAGGCATCTTCACGAACTGCTCAGAAAGCACGGGACGATGGGCACGCAAGCATACAAGCCGCTTGAGGCATCCCCACAATCTGGGCGCGAATCCTGGAGTGTCCTAACCCCTGGCGCCCACCCGTAGGAGTGCTGAAAACAGCGCCTCGCCTGAGACATCCTTAGGATCTGCTCCGAAAGAAAAGGATGTTGGGCACGCAAACAGGCAAACCACCTGAGACATCCCCACAATCTGGGCGCGAATCCTGGACTGTCCTGACCCCTGGCCCCCCCTTGTCGGAGTGATGAAACCAGCGTCTCGCCTGAGACATCCTCAGAATCTGCTCCGAACGCAGAAGACGTTGGGCACGCAAACAAGCAAACCGCTTGAGACATCCCCAGAATCTGGTCTCAAATCCTGGAGAGTCCTGACCCCGGCGCCCTCCCCTAGGGGTGCTCGAGTGTTACCCCTGCTATATCGCGGTGGGCTTTGGACCACAAATGAGTACGAGTGAATCTGAGTCTGAGCATGACAGGGGTATGAATGTGAGTTAGTCTGAGTGTGGGTGAGTCCGAGAGTGAGTGAGCCTGAGTTTGAGCGAGTCTGATTGTGAGTGAGTATGAGTCTATTGAGTCTGAGTGCGAGAGAGTCTGCGTGCGCGTGAGTTTGAGTGTGAGTGAGTCTGAGTGTAAGTGAGTCTGGCTATGATTGACTATGAGTGAGTCTGAGTGTGAGTGGGTCATTCTAGTGGGGTAACAGGAGGAAGAGGAAGAGGTGAAGAGGAGGAGGAGGAGGTTTGTTTTCGGAGCCGTCTAAGTAACAATATTGGAACATGGACCTCAGCTCTGGACATGGGAATGATATAGGATATGGGGAAATATCACTGCGCCTGAGCCGTAAGTGTTTGGCGTAGTGCAGCCCCCGCCAAACCAAGGGTGGTTCAGTTACTCAGTCCTTCTCCTCCTCATCCTCGTCCTTGCTCTGCGCGTCTGGCGCACGCGCGCGCCCGCGACAGGGCGTCGCGGGCCGGACCCGGCGATATCATACTTTGGTTTGAGACTCCCCGTGGCCGCGCGGCCACAAAAGGACATTCGCGCCCGCTGTCCCCACGATTTCCCAAACCATCCCAACCCGACTCGCCAGTCCCTGTCCACCCTTCAGTGCCATCAGGGAGGCTTACGGGTTCCACTGTGCTTTGTCGAGGTTGGCAGGCCCAACGGTGACTTCGGATTGGGTTGGGGCGGCTTGGTGTCGGACGGGGCTAGGACGAGGATAAATCTGTTCCAGAGCGTTCGGAAACGATCTCGGAGCGTTCCGGAACGCCCCGAGAAGGTCGCGGCGCCCGATACATCCTCCAGAGACGCCAGTTCTCACAGATTTTCGACTTCTCCTCACCCGAATTGATCCTCGTCCTGGCTCCGTCTCTTGTGGTGGGTACGGCAGGTCCGCGTCGTGCCGACAGGCGGCGACCCCGCCGCGGGCGCTCAGGGCTGAACGCCGCCAGTGCCCCAGAGTCGGCCTACACGGACCGAGCGGGCGATCGGCAAGCCGCCGGTCGTTCGGGCTTGGGCGATCGACGCGGTGTCGGAAGCCAACGCCGGGGTCATCACGACGCGAGCCCGCCGTAGTCAGAGGCGACGACAGGGGCGAAGAGCCCAGGGGAGAGGAGCAATACGTGTATTCAGGTGCGCCGATGATCTATGTCTTCGAAGAGGCTCCCGGGCGAATGCGTGCAATGCCCGCCCCTGGGCTGTTCGCCCCTTTTTGTCGCCGCCGACGCAGTCACAGCCTCCCGTCCGCGCTGCCGCACGCCGGCCGCCAGCCTTCGCTGCGCCGGGGGGGGGGCGAGCGGGCCTCGGAGAGGTCGGGGGCTCCGAGGGCGGGGGCTCCCCGGGGGCCGCCCCTGCCCGGGGCCGCTCCGCGGCCGTGGGAGAGCGGCTCCGGAGGAGAACGGGAGGGGCGAAGAGTGACGTAAACTTATGATCAAGTCGGGCCTGTCCCTCTACTGGAGGAGTATTCAAAAATAGTAAAAAATACTCAGGAACAGTTTTATATATATATATATTTAGCATCTGGTTTCGAATACTTGTTCTTCTAAGCATTTTAGATTTGCCGCCCAAAATCCGCCTGTAGTGGGACATGCCCGACCTGAACTCATGATGTTCCAACGCTCACCGGGAAGATTTTCGAGCACCAAAGAGGTACCGAAACTGGAGGGTTTTCACGTGTCGGGCCCTGGGAGACACTCGCCCGACACTGTTTCGACACTCTTTTGACATTTTGCCGGGTGCTCGAAATTATTTCGGGGATGCGGTCCTTAAGTAGGATGGGAACAACAGAAGGCTCGGGTCGTTCTCCGAGGATGTCTCGGGCGACAGGGGCCTCCGGGGTCCCCAGAGCGTGCGGTGACGGACCGTGCGGTGAGGTCTTGGGGGATTTCGAGGTCACCCGACGGTCTGTCACCGCACCGTTTCGGGACTCCAAATCCGCGGCCGTGGGAGAACGGCTCCGGAGGAGAATAGGGGAACGAAGAATGGCGTAAACTCATGAGGTTCCAACCTATTTTAGCCCTGATCACAGGAAAGAGTCTCGAGCACCAAGAATGTGCCGAAATTCTATGGTTTTCACGTGTCGGGCCCTGGGGGACACTCGTCCGACCCTGTTTCGACACTCTTTCGACACTTTTCCGGGTGCTGGAAATTATTTCGGTGATGTGGTCTTTAAGTACGATGGGAGCAACATAAACGTAAGCATAAAAATGCGGAGGTCCGCGCGGGTTTCTCGGATCCGCGCTGGACCCCCCTGGCGGTGCCTCCAGCGCCGCCCCTGGCGCGCTCAATCCGCGGGGACCTCCGAGTTGTTCTGTTTATGGCATTCTTCGCTCCCCTAGCGAAGCCAGTCTCGGGGATCGGGCGTTGCGTCATGGGTGGGCGATTGGTAGTTTCGTCGCGAGCGCAGTCGGAACGGAAAGGATGGGCACGATGCCCAACAGCAGTGCTTGCTCGTTTTCAACAGGTCTCGCTGTTCGTGCCGCCGCGGGCGTTGCCCATTCGAGACAGAAGACCGCCTGCCCAACAGTGGCCGCTTTTAGTTTCGGACAGCTTTTGTTGTTGGGCATCGTACCCATCTTTTCCGTACCCGTTCCGGTCGTCCGAGTAGGACGTGTGCATTCTCGGCAAGAATCATCGAGGAGTTTTCGAGGTAATCTTGCGAAACATACGCACGAAACCCGCAGAGGCACAGGGAATGGACGTCCGAGCGAGGAGGAGGAGGAGGAGGAGGAGGAGGAGGAGGAGGAGGAGGAGGAGGAGAGGAGGAGGAGGAGGAGGAGGAGAAGGAGGCGGAGGAGGAGGAGGAGAAGGAGGCGGAGGAGGAGGAGGAGGTGGAGGAGGAGGAGGAGAAGGAGGAGGAGGAGGTGGTGGTGGAGGAGGAGGAGGAGGACCCCCTCCCCCTTCAACTTTTGGTGGTGGCGGTAGAGAACAGGACCGGCATGGGCACACGGCTGGCGTCCTGGCGGCGGCTGGGGCACCAGAGGAGCGGAGAAAGTTGCGCCTCTCGTGCCCCAAGCGGGCCCCCCTTTGTGCTCAGCATCGTTTATCCAATCCCCATCCCCATCTCCTTCGAGACCGCCACCAAATTACCACCCCAGTTATGGGTACACCCCTCGAAACCCGAAGGGAACGGCCTATATCCCCGTCTAGGGGGGTAAATCGGCCAGTGGGGCCCAGGCCACGCCGCTGGGGATGGGGATCGGTTAAACGATATTCATGTGGCCCTAAAGGTAAATCGGGCACGTCGCTCTACAGGAGAGTGCTCCACAACAGTCCAAACTTCTTCCGACGGCAGGACCCCACACGATAATCGATTCAGCTTGCCCCTCGCCTCTTTTTCTTCTTCGTCTGGCGGGGGGGTCCTTCCGCCCTCTCCCTCCTCCTCCTCCTCCTCCTCCTCCTCCTCCTCCTTCTCTTCCTCCTGTTCCTTCTCGTCCTACTCGTTGCATGTCTCATCCTCTTCCTCTTCCGCCTCCTGCTTCTCCTCCGCCTCCTCCACTTCCTCCCTCTCCCCCTCATGTTCCTCATCCTCCTCGGCCTTTGCCTTGCCTCCTCCACCTCCTCCTCCTTCTCCCCCTCCTCATCGCCAGATTTTCCTCGGCGCCCTCGCCGCCACGCCTGGCAGGGGCGCGTTCTCCGACAGCGAAATCGCACAGCTGTCGGGGACAGCCCCGCGGGCCAAGCCGTTGGGACAACCTCACGGCCTCCGAGCGGGGCGCCGCCGCGCTCAGGTGGGGGGCAGCGCGAAGCCCAGCTCTGCCGCGAGCTGCTCCGCCATTGCCCTGGAGCTCTCAGCTCTGACAGCGAACTCCAGGAGCGCCTTCCGCAAGGATGCCGGCGGCCCTCCCTCCAGGAACTCTCGCAGCGGCGGCCGCAATATCAGCATGTTCTGCATGCGCTTAGCGCGGGAGAGCATGACGTAGACGTGCAGCCACCGCTGCTCGTCCGACATGCCTGTGCGACCAGCGTCCTTGTCCCTCGCGCAGTCGATGGTGGCGCCCTTGCGCAGTGTCTGGCCCCACGACAGCGTGGAGGTGAGGTACGACGCGAACGTCACTGTGAATCCCGAGCAACGCACGGCGTGCGGCCCCGAGCTCTGCCACGTGAGCTCCTGCTCGCTGGGCCTGAACATGAGCCAGCTCCTCGCCCGCGCTTCGGCCTCGCCGTCGTCGTCGGCGCCTTCGGCGCCCTGTCGGAGCACCCCGGAGACCTCCTGGTAGATCGGAGACTCTTGGAAGCCGCGCGCCTGCAGCCAGATTCCGCGCGGTTGGTAGCGGGGGCGGGAAAGCTGGCCGGCGAGCACTCCTCGTACGGGTGCTCGCCCTCGGGGTGGAACTCGAAGGATACGGCGGTGGCCCGTTGCGCCTGCACGAGCCCCAATTCTTTCTTCAGCTCTTTCTGTACTGCCGTGAATCGCACCTCCATGCCGTCGTGGGCCGGTAAGACGCCGTGGATGTCCCCTTTCTTGTGCATGTTCGGGACGTTCGGGGGGCGCCGGCCCGCGTCGGGATCGCCCTGAATCGCGTTGCGCTCGTCCATGGCGTGCAAGGAAACGATTGCACGCCCAGACGCCGCGCGTCGCGACGAGCGCGCGTGTTGATCCACTTCGTTGCCGTAGGCGAACCGAACATCCTCGCGCTTGTGCCGAAGGTCCACGACGCCGTGGTTGTCCGAGGCCAACGTCGCTTCCCAGGCGGACCAGACCTCTGGCGGGAAAACCTTGCCCTCGCGCGTGCAGCCCAAGAACGTGATCAGAGGGTCCCCGGGCTCGAAGCGCTTTGTGCTTGCCAGCCCGAAGACGCAGGGGTTTGAAGAGAACACCTCGATGGCGTGCTGAATCTCCACCGTCGGCGGCTCCGCGTACTTGAAGGACCCGTTGTCCAGGAGCTCGCTCACGTCCGTCAGGAGGCCGATGCTGGCCGTGGGCTTCAGCTGCAGGAATTTGCCGAGGTTCAACACGATGGGGACGCGCCCGACGTGGTGGTGCGGCCGCTTGTACGTGGACTCTTGTACGTCGCGCGCGTCACCGCGTCCGCGGCACGCGCGGCGGTCCAGCGCGATGTACAGCGCGGCCGCCACCCACCCGATACTTCCTCTATGTCCAGGTCTCAGGGGTCCAAAAGTGGCGACGGTTACAATATTCCGACGACCCGCTCGGAGTAGAAACATGAGCAACGGGCCCCATAGGGAGAGGGGTCCCGCTTGAGAGGTCCTCGCAATTACTCACCGACGATGTTCCCGACTTATACGCCCTCCACATCCAAGCCGCAGGGGCCCAAAAGTGACGACAGTTACAGGATTGCGACGACCCGCTCGGATTAAGAACATGAGCGACGGGCCCCATAGAGAGGGGGGGTCCCGCCTGAGTCTTCCTTGCAATTCACTCACAGACGACGCCCCCGACTTATACCTCCTCCATATCCAGGCTTCAGGGACCCAAAAGTGACGACAATTACAGGATTGCGATGACCCGCTCGGGTTCGAAATATCAGCGGCGGGCCCCAGAAGGGGGGGGGTCCCGCCCGAGATTTTCTCGCAAATCACTC